ACAACCTACATATTTGATACCTGCCAGCCCCTTTCCCAAATCATTGAGAAAGGTATGTCATTATCATTGATCCCCAATAAGAGGATGAGAATATCTGTCTGAAGTATATCCCAGTGCAAGACAACTCCTGTGAAGCACTTAGTACAGGACTTCAAGAGGCGTATAGTCTTTGTGTAAGACTGTACCTTGTGTACCTTTGACTTAGGTATTTTAATTCTAAAATTTTACATAATTTTGATGCTGCAAAATTCTTTATTTGGAAATGAACACACAAAAGTTAAAGGAAAATTGGAATTGTACAACACAAAAATGTGAAATTACGAGAGTGCTTTGAATTTTTAATATCTCTTAAATTAGAAAGACTGAAACTCTCTAAAAACTTGTAAGTGGCATAACAATTTCAAATCACTTCATACTGCACATGCCCAGAGCTCTGATAACCTCCACACTCAACTGCTTGTAAGTTACTTTCTTCACACATTCCAATAATGTGAAGCCATTCTCTGCAATGTAGAGTGTGTTATTCATAATTATTGTAGCACTTTAGACTTCTCTGTGAGTCCTGGCATATGGGAAAGAATTCAAACTCTGTTACAGAGGATCAAAATATATTGAACCAATTAAATCAAATGCTGTAACCAAGAAAACATAAAGTGATCTTAAAATGTATGATAGAAAAAGACAAAGATAAGAAGGAGGGGCAACTGCATAAAATATCATCTTGGAAAGAAAGAAAAAAGATTTCATAGAACAAGGATACTTTTACTGGCCCAGGGGCTGGGAAGAAGCAGAAATTAGCATCAGATATGGTAAAAGAATAGGTATTTCTTTAAGACATGAGAAAATGAGTTGACAAGATGAATGCATTTACTGCGTACCGTGGTACAGATGGAAATACCAAAGGGCCTTGAACTTACCCTCATAACAGTATGCTTACTTAATTAAACATCACTGGGTATAGATGAAATAAGATGGGAAGGAAGTCCAACCCCTGCTTTTGCAGGTAACCATATTTTAAATCTTGTCATAAAGTGATTCAGTCTCTCTCATCTAGATAGTTCTCATTTTGGCCTCTTCTGCTGCTATTGGAGGGCTGATCCAGAATCCCTCTGCTCCAGCACTTAAACTTGTTTCTCCTTTCCAGCATAAAATGATGTATAGCTATTTGTTCTTATTAGCATACACAGCTCTTCTTTTTCCCTGGTGTTTACACCCCACTCCATTGTCAAATATTTATGCAGCACAGTCATGCCCCCTTGAATTTCTTTGAATTTGTCTCTCTCATCCATGGGCAATTGAACTATATGCAGTGCTCTAAATGAATGCTGGATTGGGTTTGGGGAAGTCCAGACTCTCATGGAAACGACCCATCAGATAAATCTTGGAATCACATTTGATCTTGAAAGCCTCTGTACTTCATCAGAAATTTTCATGTTGCTGCTTGGTCTCACTTTATTTACACAGTGAAAGAGGGTTTTGCTATTAGCTTTAATTTTGCAAAGTCTGAGTCAGCTTGACCTCTGGCAAGTCTAACATTGTTCCTAAGACTTCTGAAACATGCATTTTGGGATGGTCAATTTTGCTCTTCTTTGTAAATTCCTTTTAGGGTTTTTTTCTTACTATTGGCATCTCTTGACACCACTTTTCATACTGGTAGGTGATACTTTCCCTAGGTACTGCTGCAGCGTTTAGGAATGGAGCTAAAAATGGGATTTGCATCCTGCATCAAGCAGCATACTGCTCTGGAGAACTTCCCATGAGAAAGCAATCCCAAGCAATACAGGAAACTCCAAATGTGGCATTCAACGACTACCATGTGGCAAAATGCTCAGAAAGTTTCAAGCTTCTTGGCAAACCAGTGTTTGGGAGTACTCCACTGGGATGCATTAGCAGCTCAATGGCATTACCGCCACAGGATATTTTTCTAAACTGTTGGTTGTTGTGGGCAACACTTCACCTTGGAAGGAGCTACCATAGAATCAGCAGTGTATTGATGGGAGGATTGAAATCTAGCTGAAACACTGAAGCAACAGAGAGGCTATAACAGGATTTTTTTTTTTTTTTTTTTTTTTTTGCTAATGACTGGAAGTTGCCATCTGAAAGCAGAGTTGTTTTGGGCACTGGGAACCTATGGAGATCACAGCATACATACAGCACATAGCTACCTTGGCTCTGCCACAACAGACGGGACTGTAAGAAGCAATGCTTATTTGGTCTGACTGTCATTTTGTGTTCTTCTTTACAGAGAGGTTTCAGCTAAAGGTCACAGGAGAGCCGCTGTATATTTTTTCTTCGAACAAAATCAATTGAAGGACCTACAACACAATAAGTTATGTTGCAGGGCTGTACTTGCATGTATTCCCATTGGAGACCTATCAATGTGAACTAGCACTGTTGGGAAATCTCTTCAGCTACCCCAGTTAATCGATATCTGTTCATTATACTGTCTCTGATGAATATGGGTAAGGATTGGGTAAGCATGAGTCAGATGACTTAAAAATAACTGCACCTCACATAAGATCAATAGAGGGTGTTTTTTTCTTCCAGTATTACTTCAGGCAAACTAATATACTTTTTAGCCCCCTCTCTTCTTACCACCCCTTGCTCATTGGTATATCAACATCAGTGCAGGAGTGGCTTTATTAAATTAGTAGCACTTAATCTACTGTCATACTGTCAACTTGCAGGCAGTGAACAAGCAGACAGCAAGTTTTCAAGTGGCCCAGTGAGCTTCGACCGGCTTTCACCCAGGCTGTTAGCTCAGAGATATGCCAAAAGCAGTCTTTCTGGGTGCCTGCTAGTATCTCTGCACTGAGTATGAAAACCTATGCTAGAAAAAAAACTTTTTAGGGTAATTCATGCCAATTATAGATGTGTTATGACAGATGAAACGATTATAATTAAGCTTGGCTTCTATGCAGAACTACATTAACACATCTATGACGTTTAATAACATGGGAGGATAACCATATGCCTCAACAGAGGTTGACTTTCCCCAAAGCTGCTTAACTTTTATTTATTTTTCCTTCCTCTCTCTTTTTCCTGCACACCAGAATTAAGAAAAGCTGCATGTTCTTGCAGCATTTTGGGGGAAACAGGGAAAAGTAAGGAAAAAAAGGAAGAAAAAAAACAAGAAAGGGAGAAAAAGAAAGAATACAGAAGGTGAGAAAGGAAAAGGAAACGGAAAAGGGAAAAAGGGAAAGAGGAAGGGGAAGGGGAAGGGGAAGGGGAAGGGGAAGGGGAAGGGGAAGGGGAAGGGGAAGGGGAAGGGGAAGGGGAAGGGGAAGGGGAAGGGGAAGGGAAGGTGTGGCATGTGAATTAATGATATCAAGCTAACAATTGCAAATCAGTAACAGATTAAAGACATTCAGCTCCTTATTGGGCTGTTTATATCGGACTGATAAAAAACAGGCAAACTGAATAAATACTCTCAAGACCTTAGTGCACCTGTGGCAGATACCTTGTATCTCTATGGTTCATGGCTCTCAGCACAAAGACTAAATTAAATCTGTGAAGAAGCTGGATTGGAAGGTGAAGTCCTGTTTTTAGGGATAAATGTTTTGCAGAAAACTGGCTCATGGTCATGCTGGAAGGGCTGCAAAAGGATAGACCTAGTGACAGGTCAGAGAGTATGTGTTAGCCACCAACCAAATGACGACTTTCCTCAGACTTACAGTTCACAGTTCTTAGTGAGGTCTAGTTAATTGGCCTTCACATTCCTTTCTTACCCCATCCCCACCCCCACATTCAGCATGTGAGTCCCATTGCCTCCATTTTGATAAGGAAATGTGAGGCAACCAAAAAGTCTTATTGACTCTTGCCAAAAACTGAGCAGGCTCTTTCCAGTCCTGCTAATCTGTTAGAGAAGAGCTCATTTGCAAGAAGATATCCATTCCCATTGAGCTAAACAGGATTGTACATGCACTTAAAGTTCAGCACATACCCACATGTTTCAAGGCATCACAGCCCCAGTGCTCAGCACGTTGCAGCACTTAACAAGAGAAGTTGCTTTTGCTCTTCTTTTGTAGAATGAATTAATATTAATCATATTTCAACACATTGACTCAGATATGCTTGTGACATGGCATTTTTCTCCCTGTGAGCACAGTGCCATGCACAAAAATATCTTATGATGAGACAGCTCCTCATCAGTTGAGTATCTTTATTGATAAGAACTGCAGTATGTAGAAAATTACTAGCACTGTAAGAGCTCAGGCTGAACCAAAATCATCTACCCCAGAAGAATCTTGCTCATATTGTACCAGCTGTTACAGCTGTCCCTTAGAAGAAAAACAAGATTTCTTAACAAAAGAAAGCACGCTGTCCTGCAAATGGGACTTCAGAACATGTCCCCACACCACACCCTCCTCTTGTCAGTATGGAGCACAAAGACAATCGGAACAATTCAAAGGTGAACCCTCTGGCGATAAATGCTTACAGCTCAGCTCTAGGTTACCATGCAAATGTACGTGGGGAGACACATTTGGCCAATGTCCTCACTACTTTGAAGCGTGAGAAAGTTTTTACTCAAATACTAAGATTAATGACCTGTGTCCCTCTTCTTTGAAAAGCAAAAGGGGGACTGACCTGTGCTAGGACACTAAGTCATATTTTGGCAAGACCTTCCACTTCAATTTCTTCATCTGTCAGACACACCTAAGTGTGAGCAATGTCCATCTTATAAGCGTTTTTTGCATACACTGAAGTGACTAACATAATGAGACTGTAGGACTCTGGATGCCAAACAAATGATGACATTTCTGAGGAAACATGTACAAGCCAGGGGAAAAAAAAATATACCTTCCCCCAGAAAAACTTTCACCTATTCAATTTCTTGCAAATATGCAAATGTCTTAAATGTTGTATGCAGCTCTCAAACTACAAAAGGCCTTGTGCAAGCTTTGCAGGTGAGGATCTTTCCACGATCATATGCCTTTCCATGGAAAGGTACCTTGTTTGAATCAGTAAAATATGCAGTGAAAGACAAAGAGACAGAAAGGTCAGTGACTGATAAATCTTTAATATAAAAATTGTACAAGAATTTTGATACAAATTACAAGAGGTATTTGGACAAAGTATGAGTAAAACTCCATTTATATCCCCAAAACCTTATGCATTTTATGCAAAAGACATACTGTAGGACAGTTACAGTACAGAAAATACAAGAAAAGAAATGTCAAAATAAAAACAGGACTTTTAATTCCCTCAGACTACTAATGGAAAAACCTTGTTTAGAGTACATACAGTATTTATGAAGCTACCAATGTCACAATTATTAGATCAACATGATGCAGTTTTTCATATCCCCTTGTACAGCTATATTCCATAGTGCATGCTTTGGTTCTGCAGGCAGGACAGAAGAGCATTCACGTTTTGCTCACATTGAGAAAAAATAGTGAAAATAAAAAGCCTCATCTATTCCGAATGGAGAAGGAACTTTGTAAAAATGTCCGTCAGGCCCCGGCTCCACACCTTCCCGTGCCTGGGGGGGATACCCCAGGAACACATCTTGACAAAGTCCACTGGAACAAGCCTAGCTTTGCGAGCCAGCAGCGAGCTTGCCGATCTCCACGGAGCAGCCCCCTGACTGTGGCCAGTGTGTTGCTGAGCAGCACAGGGGGGTTGCAGCTGGGCTTGAGACCCCTCCCATGCCCACTGAGAAAGGGGTTTCCAGGCTTTTTGCCTCTGTGACTGAACCCACCGCCAGGCCCTTACAAACTCCCGAATACATGAAGACTCAAATCCAGTTTATCTCAGCTTACATCTCTGCATGAACCCCCAGTTAGGTTCCCGTCTTCCCAGTTTAGAAGAACTGAAAAACAGCAGATGGCTACATAGGAAATTTCCATGTTGCTCGTCCCATGTGACCTTCTCAGTCAAATACATTAAAACAACTGTGCCAGTGAACAAGAGCCTTCAGTAAAACAAAGACACTCCAAACCTGTTTGGCCACAGGTGTAAGCCCCCTACAATGATATTCATAGGTACAAACGAGTTGCTGTGACCTGCTTGTGGTAAGTAAAAGCATGTGGAGCTTCAGCCAGGGTAAATTTTGGATGTATTCAGGGTTCTGATCAGCTTATTTGCACACCTGCCACACATACATTGCACTGGAACACAGATTACTTTTTAATTAGACTGGAGGAAAGGCAGGAGGCATGAACTGAGAACACAAATGCTGCCCATTAAGAAACAGCCACGTTATGGGAAAGGAACTCCATATGACATAGGAACCAAAGTTTGCACAAGAAAAAGCAGCATGCTGAATTTCATATTTATAAATAGCTAAATGAGACACACACACAAAACAGTGGCCATTTTATTCATCTTGTCACTTTACAAACGGTGACCATTTTCACAGATGGAATGCATAAAACTTTCCGAAATGGAGAACATCAGGAGGATGTGTTGCTTTTCTGAGAGAATTTTAATGAGACACTCTCTCTTGGAATGAGAGAAGAAGGGGTGGGGACAGGTGAAGAAAATGGAAAAATTAAGATAATGACCGAAGAAGATTGTACAAAGGTTTGTTAAAAAAAATTAGAAATAATTCAGTGTAAAAGTATGGTTGAAAAATAATGAAGAAATCAGCCTCAGTTTGTACAGCTTAAGTGACCCTACTTACTCCATAGGTCATCAGGTAGACCAAGAAGAACATCCCTAGAATCACAATTTGCATGGCTACCATACCATTTCACAGCGGTGATGGGGGACACACACATGCATTCTGCCCCATCAGCACAGGAGGTGGCGGGGGGATGGGTAGGCCAACTTCGTGTCAAAGTCTTGAGCTGAACGTGATGATTGTGTAACACTCTCACTCAGTTACAGACACAACTGAGTGCACAAGTGCCACCAGTCCCCCAGAGCCACTGTTCACAGCTGCTTGCATTTAGTGACAAAAGTGGGCAGGTTGTGATTAACTATTGATAAGTTTGCCATCTTAACTGTGCATTATCCTCCGATTACTCTCAACCTTTTGTTTGACAATGGATGCCTTATAAAATCTTTATGCATCACTTAGCTAGTCTCACTCTTTCTTCTCTAGAAATCTAATTGCCCTGGATGCTTTTCTCCATTTTCCTATAATATTGTTCTCCAAAGGTTTGAAAGGAGCAGTGTAGGAAATCTGTAGAACATCTGAGTAAAGCCCTCTACACATTAGACATTTGCTCACTCATGCTTCTCATGCTCTTAAGAGGATATATATAGAGGTAAGTGTGATGAAAATGATATTATTTTTGCCCATTTGTAACCTTAATTTTAAGGCTCTTTGTTCTAATGCTGTGTCTGTTTCTTCCTGTCTGTGTCACACACACACACACACACACACACACACACACACACAAAAGGGACCCAAATGGTTTCTTTAATCAGAAAGTCCTCAGTTTCCACAAACAGCCTCAGAAACGGTGCAGAAAGAAAGGCTGTTAGGCCTGCCCAAGCTCCCCATCGCAGGTCAGCTAATCTGACTGCTCCCCCCTCCTTCAGTGCCATGTGCACATGGAGTTGACAGAGGAACAGAATCTGGGCTTAACTTTTGCACTTCTGACACCAACAGGCCCCAGGAAATTGCTGGTTTCACCCTTGTAGCTCCTGATGCACTTGGAAGGAAAAGGAGAGAAACGATCAGTGACCTTTGACTTGTACAAGGCCTCAGCATATTTATAGTGGGTACCATCACCTCTGTTGCAGCAAACATCAAATTATCACATATTGCTGGAAACAATATTAGCATCTGGAACCAGCAAAGGGGAGCTGCAGCCTGCTAATGCCTTAAGTTGATCCAAGAATATAAAAAACTGAACCCCAAAATGTCTGTGTTTAGGCCTCCCAGCCTTGGGCTTTGCCTGAAAGCTGTCTTTGTCTTTTTTGGTGCTGCACCGGCCACCAGCACTGTTCAACCCACAGTGCCTAGCACTCACAGGCACACATAGGATCTGGCATTGTGATCGTGGCACAGGAATGCCGCTGGCCCTGCAAGGAGAGCACGCTTCAGCTTCTCCTCTGCCTACTTGAATTTTCAACTGCTATTCAGCAGTCAGTCAGCATACAATAAAAAGGAAGGGGAGTGGCTGAAGCCAGATATGCTGGCCTTCATACACTTAGAATTTCTTAAAACATAGCACATGCTCCCAAGCTGCTCTGCTGTCAAACTCTCTCTTTCCTGATGGATTCATCTGAGAAGCACTTCTGGAGCCTATGCTTTTGGCAGTGTTCTTGTAAATGAAGGATAAATCAGAAGAAATTCCTTCTCATATGAGGGCAGCAGATTGTGTCTCAGATATGTTTCCCTAACACTTTACAGAGGTTCACGCTGACCTCAGCAGACGTTCCTATCATGGCAGAAAGGATATCTGGAATTGGCATTCACCATAGGAATCTGAGAGGATGGCATTGCTCTGAAATTTGCCAAGGAATGGGCTAGACCATAAAAAGAAAAGACTTAATATTCTATTTGCCACCACAACTACACAGCAAGACCTATAGCAAATTCACATGACTATTTCTAGCAGGCACAGTATGGCTTATGCCAATACAAAGCAATTAGTTGCTACATAAGCAGACAAAAGTGCCTCACAGACAGTATTTCTCAGCTGACCTTTTGTTAAGAAGCCATCTTGTTACTGTCTGCCTGATAGCTCGATAGAGCAGCCAGTGGCAGCCTTGGGCTTCCCAAAGACAAATCGAAGTGCTCCAGATGGGACTTCCCTTCACTCACTGCAGATGTGTGTGTGCATGCATGTGTGTGTGTCAAGGAACAGGGAGGGAAAGCCTGGTTCAATTGCCACTTCACAGGGGATAAACAGGCAATTACGCATCCTTTTATATTTGATGGCCAAGTGCTGAACTTGAAAGCACACTATTAGTTTGTGTCCCTTCAGGGCCAGTGCAATAAGTAGCCAGGAGAGCTGGGGCTAAGGAAGAGAGGGTGTTGTCTGCTGTTAGTGTGACAGTCTTGTCAGCAGCATTCACATTACTGGAAGGTAATAAAGTGACAAGTAAGTTATTAGAAAGATATGAGGTGAAATTGAACTGAAGCTTCTTTCTGTTCAGCTCAGGTTTTTTTCCTGCTTTGTAATGGGCCACTATTTGTTACAAACCAAGCCTTGTCTTGAGATCTTATATAAAAAAAGAAATATTTATTCTTTGCAGGAAAGGTCACATGAATTTACAACATCACACTTTAAAGGAGAGGAATGGGAAAATAGTTTCATGACAACTACAGCTGCTGTTTAAAAAAAATACAGTGTCATCATAATGAACAATAATACTGGCAAAAGTCAGAGGACTTGTCAAAAACATGTCCATTTTTTAACCCTTCGGGGGTCCAGAACTGTTTTCTTTTCAGTGCTAGTGCCAAACAAAAGAGCAACGGTATTGGGATATATATGATCAGTATCTTGATCAAAAAGTCAAAGCTGTTATTCAATATCACGACTTGACCAGAGAAAACAAGCCACATAAGACTGGTTAACTACAGACTCAAGATAATATTACTTATGTAAAAAAGTTGCTGCTTCACTCTGTTACAGGCTATTTTAAAGGCAGTGATAATGCTGCTTGGCAAGAAGAGACAGAAACCATGGGACTGGAACAGACATGTACTTGGGCAAACATGTGGGTGAAAGGTTCAGTCCATCATATGATTTTGCTCTGTTCATAAAGTAAAAATGGGTATGGAAAAGAGTTCCTTTTATGTCCCTACAGGAGGGGGAAAAAAGCCCAACTCATCATGTGGCGACAGCGGGATATGCTGATGCTTATCGAGCAAAGTAGCACTACAGTCACTGTTTTGTTGAGTTACTATAGCAGCAAAGTAGTGACATAAGAAAAAAAAATCAAAACAAACAACAACAACAACAACAAAAAAACTAAGAAGGAACTGACATATACCAGCTGCCATCATGTGTCTGCCATTCACCTTTTCCCCACAGAGAACTCCTGTTGCCTTCTTGCCCTTAGTACAGACATCTTTTCTTCTCTTTTGAAATAAAAAAGAGTAATTCAGTTAACACGATCCAAAGACAAGAGTGACAAAAAAGAGTGACAAAAACATTGTAGGGACAGAAGAAGGAGTAATAGTTCTGTTCATGTAACCGGCACAAAAAATTTAGAGTAGCATGTGTGCACTCCTAGATCAAACACTTTCTCTCCCGTATTCCTTCCCCTGACAGCTATGATGCTGTGAAAATGTCCTGCAGAATCTGAGTACAATAAATTTCTGAAAAGATGTCCCGTTTTCTGATGGCAGCTGATATCCCTAACCACCCTGTGAAAAAAGAGTCCAATCCAAGCACATTGATTTTAAAATATCATACACATCGAAGGAGAAATTTTTGGAACTAAATCTCTGGTCTTGTAAATGGTTCCTATCTTTGGAACAGATCAGACCTTGAATCATTATGTTTCTGAGCTTTCCAGATACCTACACAGCTCTTTGTCTTGTTGCTTAGGCACATTCCTACCCCATATAATTAGCTATGCTAGATCCTTAACTGAGTTTTAATACAGCAGTGTAAAACTCAGGGAAATCTGAAGTGGATCCCTGTTGCCCTACTTCCTATTAGCTGTCCTGGACAGGATCAACGGAGGTGCTGGCATCTCCGTAACTGTTTAGAACAAGACTCTATTCTTTTTCCTAAATAGTTCCTTTTTGGGGGATGGAATGGGAAATGCATAGGTGATGGAAATCATATAAACTTCTGGAACAGGCAGAGAAAGTATACTTTAATTTCCACAATGGAAGGGAGGAAGGGAGGTAGGGAGGGGGGAGAGGGGAAGGGGGGAGGGGGGGAGGGAGCAAGGAAGGGGGAGAGGGGGAAATGGGGAAAGGGAGGGGGGGAGGTGGAGAGGGGGAAAAGGGGGAAGGGGGGGAGGGAGGGGAGGGAGGGACGGGGGAAGGGAGGAAGGGAGGAAGGGAGGGAGGGAGGGAGGGAGGGAGGGAGGGAGGGAGGGAGGGAGGGAGGGAGGGAGGGAGGGAGGGAGGGAGGGAGGGAGGGAGGGAGGAAATACACTGAAGTTTACTCACGGCAAATATGGTGCACGATTTCTGTTGTGTAAAGTATCTACAGATCCCTAAGAAACATACAAATTTTATGAGTTCAGCCATGAAAAGCCTTTGAGAGATCTTTAAGAGCAGTGTATAGGTGCTAATAGGCTTTTAAATCTATACTTTCCATATTTTGTCAAACTGAATTGTGACTCTGTGACATTGTGCTTATACTTTGTATGCATGACTACAGTGTCACTATGGAGCCAGCTGCAGTTTAAGAGGCAAAGTTAAAATCTCAGCCATAACAAATGTACTTGGATGAGATATAGCTCAGAAAAATTGACTAATTATTGTAAGGTGTACAAAAATATTTATGACTTAAATTAGCTCTTTACTAACACCAGCTGATTAGTCCTCACAGGAGCACCCTTATGGGGAAGAGCATATTAGTATTAGCCATAGTTTAACACATTGAAACACAAACAGCTAAGTGATGTGATCTGTCTAAGTCTAAACAGTAAGAAGGGGCCACCAGTGGTATTAAAACTCCTGGTTCCCATTCTTGTGCTTTGACTATGCTGTTTTCCTTCCAAATTGTTTTCTTCAAGTTTTCAAAAGATGCCTAGTGATTAACCAGTATCACATGCTTTCCTGACCCTGCCCCCCCCCTCCAAAACAAAGAAAAATGCTTAACAACCTCCAGACAAGTAGTTCTGTTTCTAAAAGAGGTTCAGTATGAAGAGTTATTTCCTAAAAGTAGACAAAACCTTTTTGATATTTACAGAAAAATACAACTGCCTTGAATAAACAAAACAGTGAAAAAAACATGGAAAGAGTGACCACAATAACTATAAGAACCAAACAAGAAGGAATAAACTCCATGTAAAAGTGAAGAGTCTCTTCCTAAAAGTTGGTCTAATTCTTTTAAAAAGGTTTAGACTGATAGGTTAGGAAACTGAAGGGACAGCCACAGGTTTGTGATGGCATAAGCACTGCACAACATTCATCTTGCCATCACACCATTACAGCCATGCCCTGTGCAGGACACATGAGATGTTCGGTTGTTATGCTTATTGCAGTTTGCGTCACTGCTGAGATCACCCCAGAAATGCTAGTTTCTGTCAGTAAACCCAAACTTCTATGACACAAGCATTTTAAGGATTTTTCAGGTAATTTCAGATGATACAAATTCCACCACAGGAACAATTTCGACAAATACAGGTTCGAATAGAGGTGCAGGGTAAGTAGGAAGGAGGGAAATGCCATTCAATTCAATGTAAGTGTATGCGCCCATCTAAAACAAAGACTGTTCTGACTTAGTTTCACTAGCACTGAAGAAATCACTTGATTCGACTAGAAATAACAGTGAATAATATTCTGTCCACAAGATGATGAATTCTCCTACCTGGCTTAAGCAAAATCTGTATGAAGGTTATGATGCCATAAAAGTAGGACTGCAGAACTTCTAACGGTTTTTAGAGGTTTGTGCCTGCTTCTTTACTTTTTAGAATGTCCTGTTTCATTTTGTGTAATAAACAGAATGTTTTACTGTGTAATTCATCTGCTGAATTTATCTACTGATGATGTTTAAGTTTCCAAACAAGTTTACCAAAACCATTTGACCTCTACCAGAAACAGTGCAATGAGAATACAGAACAGTGATGCATTCAGTGAGGAATTATTTATATACCTCAAACATGTTTTGCATTAAAAATTATATTTATTTATACCATACATACTACAAAACAGTGGGGTTTTCTTTCTGTAGATATCATTCATTTTTTGTTGTTTTGTTTTTTAGACTTTCCATCTTGCTTGTTCCTAATAGTTTGGGAGGAGAGATGGGAGTGCAGTACAGATAACACTACAAAGGTCCATGTGTTTTAGAAAAATGCACCTTTACTGTTCTAATTTCCCTTTCTCACAAACACACCAAGCTTGCACAACATAAAACAAAGCGAAGCAGATCTCTCCACTCAATTTAACAAGGCAAAGTAGTTGAGACTTTGAGGAAAAATAAAAAAGATGAAAGAAAAAAGTCAGTGAAACTGCTTAGCTTTTTGCTATAAAGTTTCTTTTTGTTAAACCAGAAGGTATATTTTCCTTACAGTTTCTGTGGGATCCACAAATGTTTTCAGGGCCTCATCAGTGCACAGAATCAAAAAATGATCAAAGGCTTGTAACCCATAGGAACGTAGTGAGAATTAATTTAAAAAGATTTTTCTTTTATTTTCTACAACTGGAAATACTGATTTATTAGTTATTGATTCCTACTTTTGGAAACAAGAACACTGAAATTCAATGAAGAGTACTAAAAAAGAGGAAATCCATATTAAGAGCTTCCTTTAGAAAATGTAACAGGAGTTAAGTTCTCAAGTGGACATAAAGGTAAGAATAATCAAAATGCACAGCAAATCAAAATAATGACAAGCTGAAACAATGGAGCATTGCTGACTCTTGGCTAAGAATAATAATGCTCTGGGTCAGTAAATACAGAAAAGGAACACACTCTCACTGAAGGATTACTTTATTGTATGCTGAAATATCCCTTGGGTTTTCATTTGTTTGTTTGTTTTTGCTTTTGTTAATGTTTTTGTAAAGAAAAGAGTCTACAACACACACCCTAATGGCTTTGGCTGTAGACTGAACTTAAGTAAATACCATCACTCAGCCAGTATGTTGTGGTAACTCAGGCTGCCAGTGTGGTTTACCAGCTCAAGCAACATGTGTAAACACCAGAAACAAAAAAGATTCAGAGGACAGCCTCTCTTTTTCTTTGCCTATCTCAGCTGCTTGCTCCTTCTCCCTCTCCTGTTCATGCTCACTCTCTTGCTCGCTCTCTTTCCTGGGCTTTTGTTATTTTCTGACAAACCATGTGGATGAAACACAAAACATTAATACAACTAGAGTTTCTTCTTTTTCTGGCCTCTAATTTTATCCAAATGGAAAGTTACCCAATAAAAAGTCCAGCATATGTTTTCAGAGCTTCTAAGTGCTTCTGCCATTAATTTCTTTTGATTGCTTCTATAAAACATGCCTTAATCATACTACAGCACTTTCCATTGCAAAAAGAAAACTTTACAGAACAACGTAGTTACCATTATTTCCCTGTCCTTTTTTTTTAAAACACCACAAAAAGTCCAGGCCATAGTTAGAAGCACACAAAATTATATTCTTTCTTCTGTGACAAGTAGTATCAGCATTTATATCCCCAAATATTATGCATGTTTGACAAAAAAAAATGTTTCCACTGATTCACATGACACAATTCTGGGTTTTTTTTTTTTCTTTCATGTAATGTAGTATATAAGGAATAAGGATGCACTACTGTTTCTAGTAATAATTGGCACCTGAAAAAAGCACCAAGAATTCTGTATTTCACTTTACCCCTTCTCCGTCCGCAGTATTTTTTTCTGTAGTCCAAAAACTACAACTGTGGTTATGGTGAATAACTACATTTTCTTTTTTCAAAACGTGTGCAAAGTTGGCACTTTTGTATTAACACTAAACACTAATACTCTTTGTTTGGCATTCATGCCCTCATACTGACCAGACCACTTTTATCTAAGTGTATTTTTTTAAAGACACTTACTGAAAATATGGCAATAGTTTAAGAAAAAAAAAGCATGGATATTATTACACATCCCCTTGTAGTGTACGAAAAAGTGCATGACTGGATTTATGTAATAGTACAAGACAAAAAAACTGTATCAGATCAGGTACTGTAAAGCATGCCAGCACCTCTGTATTACTTATATCTAGCAGGTAGTTAAAACAAGACCGTGGTTCTTTTAAAAATGTGCATTAAAGCTAACATAAATGAGTAGAACTAGCCAGCAAACTATTTTTCCTGCTCATCTAACAGCTGAATGTAACTGTAAAAATTAAGCAAAAAAATAAGAGTTAAACCACCATCAATACAATTGTTTTACATCATAGGCCTGTCAAGGCTCAATATATATATACAAGTGTAACAGCCATGCTTAGTAGAACGTTATCCCCAATGCTTAGAAGACACAAAGACAACTAAGTAGCTTGGTTTTTTTCTCTTTTTGTTTGTTTGCAATTTTTTTGTTGTGTTTTTTTTTTTTTTTTTCTTTTTTTTCAGGCAAAAGTCATGGGTAGAACAAACTGCCTCTTTGGAGATGACCAAGAAGATTCTAACAGAACTAGGGACAGCTGCAAGTTTTCTGTGGGTTTGGTTTTTTGCTTGCTTTTTTCATGAAGGGTCTCTCCCCCAAATTAAAGATCCAACCTTTTTTTTCTATCCCAAAAAAAAGGAAAAAAAAAACAAAACAACAACCAACAAAGGGGAAAAAGCACCTGGTGTTTCTTTCTTTTGTTAAAAAAGAAAAGAAAAAGATTATATATATATATGTATATTTTATATATATATATATACTTATATATATATATATAAAGGGAGACTGTATATGGCAGTTCAGATGTGGTGGGCCCTCTCTGAGAGCTGGCATTATGCTGTGTCCATCCTTGAACTAATCTACTGAAGTGAAGGGAATGTTTTTATGCAGATTGGGGTTCTGACTGTGCCGGTTTCGGCTACGGACAGAGGAGAACATCATGTTGCACCCAGGGACTTTGCATTTGTGCATTTCGCGCAAGTGCACTGTTTTATAGTGCACTCTGAGGGTTCCCTTGTTGCTGTACATTTTGTGGCAAATGTTACACATTATCCCACCGTTGCTCACCGAAACACTGTTGAACATGAGGGATCCTGGGACATCGGTGCCCATACCTACAGCTAAGGCAGGGGCATCTGCTTTATGGGCAGATTCCCCACTGTCACTTGCCCCATCAACGTCGTCCAGGAGAATGCCCTCATCGCTTCCTGCATCAGATTCTCTTGAGGAATGGATACTGCTGCTGGACTGGATGCTGGAGGTGGTGCTCAGGTCTAGGACCATATAGTCTTCCGACATGCCCCTGCCGTACCCATTCATATGGGAATCCTCAGTACCAGCAGGTGAGGAGGTGTCTTCCCTTATGTCGAGCCCCATCTGATGCTGAGCGCCATATATCTTCACCAAAAATTCGTCACGGAGGTCCTTACTAAGAGAAGGCTGTGAGGTGTCCAGGCCCATATCATCCAGTTCTTTGGTCAACAGTTTACGGTGCAGGTTTATGTTAGCACTGTGTCTGGGAATGGAAAAGAATGGAAAGAGAAGAGAAAGAGAAGAAAAATGGAAGAGAAAAGGAAAAATGTACAGTACTTTTGAGTAAACATACAGTCAACAAGCATCAAATCAAAATTCTGATTTATCAATAATTTATCATAAAAATATTCTCTATTCATGTTCCTTGGAAAATTCAGTCTTGTTATAAGTGAACAAATTGCAACATAAAACCAAACCAAAACAAGCAAATTAACCACCTCATATTGTTTTTCTTTCCAGCTACTGCTCCTCAACATTAGTCTTCAGCAGCAGCTAGAGCCCTTTTATTTGATATTTACAAAATAATAAATTGCGCTAGCAGAAAATGCAAAATGCTCTTCCTGGTTCCTGAATCCCTGATGGCTTTCTTAAAAGCCTTGCTTCAAGAGAAGATATTAATATATGGAATATCTCTGTGTGTTTGTATCTATGTCTATTTCTAGATCCATACCCCTATTTATTTATACACACATACATAAAAATATTATATATATATGTAATCACATAACAGTGTAAGTGAAATATAGAAATATAGAAAAAAATAAAGGTAACTGAATGATACATAGCCAGAGGTCCTGATTCTGATAATTTAATTCTGGTATAAAGGGATTCAGAATCAGGCCAAACCAAGACAGAGAATACTTGAAGGGTTTAGGAGAACAAGTCTCTGAAACCTACATGTAAGTTTCTAAAAATCTTAGCCAAAGTCACTGGTTCCATCTTTATGGGAGGGCACTGCCACTCATCCCTGTAATCTTCCCAGTATTGTGTCTGATGCAGTGCTGACTGACCCAAGCAGTGTAATTTACATTAAAAAAACCCCTACTAATGGCAATGACAATTTTGCTCAAAATCAATCAAAACACTTAAGCATGTGCTTTGGTTTAGGTATGTGCTGAAGTTACCGTGGGTGCTCTAGAGACACTGGAAAAGCTGTCACTGACCTCAGTGTTCTTTGGACCAGATTCCAAGAGCCACCAGTTAAAATATTCTCAAGTGTTTTACAGGATCTGGGCCTTTGTTCTCAAGAAATAAAGCTCTACGTTTGCAAATACCTTTGGGTTAGTAACTGTGTAAAACAGCCTATTATTTTAAATACTGCATTCTACTCTCCACTTTTGACATTGGCTTTATTCATCCATTGCAGTAGAACCTCACTGATTTGTAGCAGTGTCAGGAAACCCTCTTTGAAAAACTGCATTTTCTGAGTTAACAATGCAACGAACAAACATGACAGACATCAAAGACCTCTGACCACAGAACATGCTCATTTTGTCGAAGTGCTTAATAATAAGAAATCAGTATAAAGTTTTCAGTATTAGAAAACTTTAGGGTTCAGTATTCAGAATGTGCATCATTGCTGAGGAAATGACAAATATTTATTCAGTTTCTTTGGAGGGTGACTGGATTTTCAAGTCAGTGAAAAAAGAATTAGCGAAGTTCTACTGCGTTAATATTCTTTGCAAGCTAAGGACCCAAACCTGCAATTTACAACATGCAGACTCACCAGTCTGACCATTATAAATTGCAGATCAGAGCCCAAATGTAGGAGGCAAAAGAAAGAAGGGGGAATGGGGACAAGGCGGAGGGGAGGTTGGGTGGGCAGGAGGAAGAGAGAGAGGGAAAGAGAGTGTTTTATCAGGAATACTTTAATTTGCAAAAAAAGCACAAGGTATAAAATTGGCATGGGAAGACATAACAATAAACAAATATTTTACACACATTCAGGTCCTACAATAACAAAAAAGGGAGAAGGGAAAAAATAGCTAGTAGCAATATTTTCTTATTGGAATCTTTTGTTTTAAGAAACCCTTTGAAACATACCTCTCAACCAGATGAAGTCCCAAACACGGTACAGCAACACAATGCAGATAAATGGGTAAAATGCAAATGTGGGAAGATTAAGATGTGGAATTAATTTCTGTATTTTTCTATTACTTACTTTCTGATTCATGTATCTGCTGCATGTAACTTCTGGGAATAAATAAAGAAAACAGCAATGGAAGCGATTTGTCCCACTCACCTGCAAATGCAGGTAACTGTTCTGTGAGATAAAACTGATACTGAAGTGCAGTTTAACTGAATCATGTCTGATTGGGATGCAATTCTTCCAGTAAGGAGGGGCCTAAAAAGGCAAATTTCTCTCCTAATGAGAGACAGTTGAGAGGTATGGGCAAGGGTGGAAAAAAGTGGAGAGTATTCCTTGTTTTTCTCCCATATGGGAAATACTCCTTTCACACAAGCGAGTATAGCACCATAGTTTTTTTGAGGCTCAGAAGTGTAATTATGCATACCCCCACACTGCACTTAGGAAGGCTGAGCTTACCTTGTGATAAGATCAGCTTTCTAATCTTTTGCTAAATTGAGATCACAAAAGAGAGGGAGAGAGAGAGAAGAGAAAGAGAAAGAAAGGGGGAGGGGGAAGAAAGAGAGAGAGAGAAAGAACAAATTCACATTCCAATCCAGACATATCTGGTTAAAAAAAAAAAAAAAAAAAAAGACAAAAGAAAATAATATCTGAAACTAATAAATTACAGACTTTAAAAAAAGTCTTGACTGTGAAACTCTTTTTTGAGAGCTGTAATCTCACTCCTACTGTTGTCCTGATGGATACTGATTCAACCGCACAATATGAAAAACATAAAGCAAATTAATCAAAGCATATTCACAGCATCCCCATTATCATCCACAAATGAGTTCTGAACAGATGCATGCAGTGTGCACATACATGAATGACAAACAGTAGTCCTGGCAGTCCCTTACCTTCCTAGTGTCAGATGGCATACAACTCCATGTAAAGTTGCTAAGTGCAGTAGAGGTAGCAATTACTGTGAAGGCCTGTCCACACTGACCAGTGTTATTACATGACCATAAAAGCACATTTGTGCTTATCATCATAACACTAACTGCAAACTACTCATAAAGTGCTCATGTGTTTACTCCTTACGATTTCTCCCCTTCTCTCCCCTTCTCACTCCCCTGGTATGGGAATTTGCTGCAGTGTAGAAACTAGTGAGGATAACTGTAACTGTTTTTTCCACACCTTTGTGCTTGCTATTTCCTTGGTTTGCTTGCTGCTGAGAAAAACAGCAGCCAGGCATGCAGTGAAAATAACTTCAACATTCACTGAATGAAGAGATAAGAATAAATTACCACATTAAAGAGGGGCCACTGAGCCCCAGATGGACAGAGGCCATTCTGAGAAAGACCAGTGTAAGGATGAAAACCTTGCTGATGCTCTGATAAGAAGAGATGCCTCCCTTATTCAATTCTCACTTACAGCAGTGGCAATCAGTAATCTAGTTAAAGTATGTACCGGCCCATAATATCTGTCAGGCAAACGATGTGCAGAAATGTGTGGACCAGTTCTGGCAGTCTGCTCAGTAGTGTCCCTTTTCCGCTGTCAGCAGTACTGTTGGATTCTCCTAATATAATTACATTGACTTTTATTCAATTAAGTGCCATTCTTAGCCTTAAAAAAAAGCTACTTTATCAATTGATTCAGGTGTAATGCAATAATAAAGATGAACTCATGGCAGTGCATTAGCTCTGCTGTTCATAACTTCTGAACATAGGTTCATTGATAGCAGTCGATTTCCATTATGCAACCACAGTTCAAAAGAATTGATTCTTTTACATTAATTTCTTAATCTATTTCACTTGTGTTTAATACTCTCCCTAAATATCATATGCAAAAACAGTCTGGTAGGGATGAGTGGAACAATTTGTGAGAAAAAGTTCATTTATTTGGACACTGAAGTTTTGAAATCTTATAACAAAATCGAAGTCACAGAGGCTACAACCTCATCAGAGTTAAGAACACTGTGCACTGAAGGTACTAATAACACACATTTCCAGTAGCCAAATGATTGTTGGGAGAGGAGGGAAGGAAAGGTATGTTTTCATAGACACACCAGTCTAGCGTACTTGGAGCCTGATCGAGCACCCCTCTCCCGTCTGCTACACACCTAAATGCAGCTTTGCAACCTGAGGCACAGACTGAGTACCCCATGCAGGGTGCTGCTTGAACAGTGCCCTGCATAAAGAAGGCACTTCTCAGGGCTGAGAGCAGCATTCCCAAGGCTTCTTTGGGAAGAGATGACAAGGGATTTCTGTGTAAGGAGAAACATGGACGTGTATGTAAGGACAGGTACAAATAATGTATCCATAAACAAAAAAAATGAATTAAGAAAGAAGAGTATGGATAAAAGCAGACTAGAAAGAGAAGCACTACAGACCAGGAAGTTTAAAAAGGGAGATGTTCTGGGAAACGGCAACCACTGGCAATTGCAAATAGAATAGGGTTGAGTTTAGGGGCAGAAATGAAGCATGATTTGCTAGGAAGCTATGAAGACTATTATTCAGATGGAAAGGCAGAAGAGTATGTGGCCAAAAACCTGTACTCGAACAGCTGAAAACAGCAGTTGGAGAGACACAAGAAGAAAAAAGTAGCATTACAAATATTGGCCAAGCCAATAATTTGTTTTGATAAACTTAACTATTTCTTTGCCCCTCTCATCAAATGCTGATCTTGGAAAATGTACTCATTCAGCTATCTTAAATTGCTCCAGTAGTTCCAAGATCCTGACTCCCTTCTACATACCTAACTGAAGTAATCCATCCTAATTCAACTCTTTCTCCGCGGCATTTACAAATCCTAGCAAGTCCTCTGTCAGCCCTCAGCCAATGCTAGCCACCTTGTCATCTGTTCATCTGCTCCTCCCCATGGCACCTGCAGTTTCTTGCTGTTCCCTGATGTGATTTACAGTGCCACTACCCCCTCCTTCTCTGAATACTGCTCCCAGGTACGTGTAAACAATGTTTCCTGAGTAAGCTGAGGCACAGCTTCAGCAGAGTGATTTATACCAGTGTATAAATACTGCCATCAAACAAGCAGAAAATCATGAAGCGAGATAATGCCAAAAGCATCTGAGCTTCTGCTTGCCATGGTTCTGTTATTCCTCATACCTGAGCTAGCTAATT